TTGTGATGTTTTAGAAGTCAAGAAGCGCAACTTTTGGCACCCCAGTGTATACAGTATAGATGTCTAGAGTCTTTTGGCTATTCAAACGCCAATGTGACCAACACCACCTGCATTGTTCTGAAAACGACACCCCCCAAACATGCGGATGCGTCTTTTAAGTCCGCAAACACCTCCAAAAAGAACAAAAGCATCCCAAAGCCATGTTTAACGACTACTAGATGTCCTCGTGTTGCATGCGTTGAGCTTCTCCCTGACGGCTGCTTCTCGCTGATCCGTCAGGATCCTCCCGTGTCGCCTCTCTCGTGGGGGGTTCCCAGATGTGAGTCTGAAGACGGTGGGGCACACCGTGTGCGTTGGTGTGCGGTCAACCGTGACATTGACTCTGGAAACAGTTGCAGAGCTCATCAATGACGCCATCACAAGTGATCATCTCTGGATATTTTCCTGCAAATTCATGGTCAATCTTTGAAGGAGAACCATGGTGCAGAACAGATATGTGCCGCTCTTGAAGCGGTACATAGCCGGTGAAAACGATGCAGCCAATCGGGACAGAACTCTTGACCATCGGAGGTCCAGAGGTCCACACACAGGTCGTCTAAAGAAACCTGGTCCTCGAATCCATCAGGCGAAACTCCAGACATGTAGCTGCGACCTTTTGATACCTGTCAAGAACCCCTATAGCTTCCAGCTATGTGGAGAAGAATGCACAGTCTCTAGGTCCATTCCGTTTGGTGTTTTGCGGGCCATAGGATGGGTAAAAAAGAGGCCTGCATTTGCTAAGATTTGATCTATCAACATGTTCCTCTTTTAACCTGTTGGTAGAAAAAGGGATTGTACATGTTCAGAACCATCGAGGTCATATTCACGTTGGTTCGTTCTTGGTGTTTCCGATCCCTTTGCCGGGACAGTCCAGCGCATGGCCCAGGATTTTCCAGGAGGAGGCCGAAGCATCATGGTTGAACTGTGTCACTCCGAGTGTGGGCATGCTGATGCTTTTATCGAGGAATCGAAGATAATCGAAGTTTCAATTCCCAGCATATCATAAAGTATCATATGGGACTGATGGGATATCCACCAAACCCACAATCAAAATCCCATCTCTTTTGGTTGAACAGGTGATATTGGCCGTCCCTCATATCAAACTTTTTGCTTAACTTATCTCGATCATTAGTGCATAAAGTCAAACTAGCTACCTTGTAAATTGAACACACACACGACATACATATCCACATCGTTTTACATTCAGATGAGGTTTTCCGCCCCGAAACACGGTTTCAGACACCATTGGGTCAGAGACAAAATCCAAGACCCAAGTGACGCGGTGTTCCGCTTTGTCTCCCCGAGGTCTTCCCTCTAAGAGAGTCTCCGGCTGAGACCTGGTGCGAGCGGGTCTTGCGGGAGCTGGCAGAGGCGAGGATCGAGCCAGAGTGGCCATGACTGGTGAACTATATAATTTGCGCCTGTTCTATTATATATCATAGTGGGTTTACTCTGAAACGATATATCATGTGTTTACTCTGAAACTTGGGGGTGTCCGAACTTACCTGTAGCAGTCAGTAAACAATTATCACTATTTTTGAACAAGGCCTTTACTAACAATCATCATCCGCCGTTACTGGTAATAGGATAGACTCAACATATAGTTATCTACTAATTAACACTTTAGTGGCCATGACATGCCATGACTAGTGAACTAGGCTGTAATTTGATAGCCTTTTGGTGATTGTGAGGCGCCACCCTGCCAGTTGAGGAGCTCCTTCGGAGTTACACAAGGCATTAAGCAGGTGAAACAATGGGTAGGCCAAGGCAAACGAATACAAACAGAATGGCAGACCAAACGACGGACAAAAGGGTTCTGGAAAGCACCACCAAAATGCGCGTTTCGTTCGCAAAAGAACATCGTCTCGGGCCATCCTTCAGCGTCTCAGGGCCGCCCTTTCAGTTCTGAGATGTTTCACGGATCTGAAGCGGAGGTAGGAAGCTACGAACGTAACAGGTGCATCGCTAGTAGTTACTAGTAGAAACAATGTTTGCTATTGGAAACAAGTGCCTTACTCGTAACAAAAGCCTTTTTGGCTTCGGACAGGGTCTCTTATTTCGGCCGAAGAAACCGTCCCAATCGGAGGCCCAGGTGACGTCCAGTGGAACCATTGCCAGGCCATTCGCGGGCGGCCCGGAACGAAGGAACAGACCGGAACACTGGACTGACTGACGGAGTGATTCCTGAAAATGGACCACAGTTTGTGTGATTTGGATCCAAAAAATCCACAAGGGACATGTCCAAAATAACTATATAGTTACATAATTAGTCATAACTATTTACTTTCTTTTCAGGTGTGTGCAATTCAACATCGGAGGGACATTCAGAGAAGGTCTCGTCGAACAGAAATCATCTGGGTGCCCAAGTTTACTCATAGGATCCCTGGACCTTTGCGAACCGCGATGGAGGACCAAAGCACTGAAACGGGTTAAACAATGTTAAACATGTCAAACAACAAACAAGTTTCCCATCACTGTGACATGTGCCACTTTGTGGTCCAAGAACCATCTGTGCCATCTGCACATGGCTCCAGGCCGACCGGGATGAAAGACATCAATGTGAAGGACATCGAGTTCAATCAGATTTTGCAGGTTCTCGAGTTGTGTCAGGTCGGGAGGTCGTTGGGGTCGCTGACGTCGGTGACCATGGGGAAGTGACCAATGGTCATGGTGAAAGATCAGTCAGTTCAAAGTTCAAGGGGCATTGAAAGCCGTCAGACGTGTTTAAAAGATGAGAAGTACATGCAGTACATACATCGACATTAATTATATATATACTGGTACATATATACATGCAGATATTATACAGTGTATATATAGTTATATATATATATATCAGTATCATTCACAAATATGTTGATGATGTGTTTCATTTTGTTTTATCATGTGTCGCTTCCGGGCTCCAGCTGTTGCCCTTTCCGCTCTGATCGTTTCGGCCCCTTCGCTCTGATGCTGCGCCTGGCGGCCGGACTGGTCGTGTTGGCCATTCCTTTGAGCATCAGTGGATGTGGCGAGACCAAGGACTCCGCCATAGAGACGATGTGTGATTTCTCTCTGAAGCGGGGACAATGCTCGAGATGTATGTGTATGGGGAAGACCGGGAAGTGTACTGGAGAGGTACATTGCATTGCTTGCAGCGCCCCATACACTTTTGTGAAGGCGAACGACACCGCGATGCCCTTCAGGCATGGCACTTGCACCATAGAGTGTTTGGATGTAGCAAGGCCACAGATGCCGAAAAATGCCTTAGATTTCAATGGAAAGGAATGGCCTACAGCCTGTTGGAACGGAACTGACGAGCAGCACTTCTTCATCATTGGGGATTGGGGCGGTATCCTGCAGAGTGGCGCAAAGCCATTAACCTTCAAGAACCGTCCAAACATAGTTGATCCCATCGATCTCTATGCGCAGAGTTATGTGGCCGACAAAATGGCTGATGTAGCTGCAGAGAAGGAGCCGAAGTTCATCATCAACGTAGGTGACAACTTTTATCCTGGGGGGCATCAGCAGTCCAGGCACCTGCAATGCAGAGACCGACAAGACCGATGCAGCAGGTGGAATTATATTCACCAACATTTTTGAAAAAAATCTACCAGGGGCCTGGCTTAGCTGGCGTTGAATGGTGGGGTGTCCTTGGCAATCATGACTATGGGGGATATCACTACAACGTTCACTGGGACCAGAACATTTTCTACACTTGGCATGCGCCCAATAGCCGGTGGCTTACCCCAGCCTTGTTCTGGAAGCGGAAGGCCCAGTTCCGGAACTTCTCGGCAGACTTCTTTTTTGTCGACACCAACAAAGTGGATACCTACCAAACTCCGGACGTGGATCCAGAGCACAACATTTGTGCTAGATCTCACAACGTTCCCCCTCAGCCTTTGGGATGCAATGGCACTTCCATCACAAGTCCTGACACTTGCTGGAGTTTTTTTCGACGACCTGTGGAGTCGGCAGAAATCTTGGCTGGCGCAGCAGCTGGAGACCTCCTCTGCCGATTGGCAGATTATCGTGACTCATTATCCACCTTACTTCGAACCATGTCGTTCAGATGTTTGGGAGACCTATTTGGCTAAGTATGGGGTTGATCTCTACATCAGCGGGCACACTCACTTGCAGAACGTATCCTTCCAGGGGGGAGACCCCTTATGTCATCAGTGGCGGTGGTGGCGGCATCACTTCAGAGATTTTGCCGACGAAGACTGGGGAAGACGATGGATATGGCTTCATGGATGTGATTATCAAACACGACTCCATGCACATTTACCTGTATTCCCATGGTGGTGTTGATAAGAAAACCATCATCCGGCACACCATGCAAGTGAGGCCCCAAAGCCCCAGAGCTTCGGCAGTCGTGGTGTAATTTTAAGCAGTGAGCTCTTGCACAAAGTTCGCAGTCACAGGAGTGCTTGGCAGCTCACATTGGATTCCTTGCGAATCTCTTTCAATGCCTTTAGATCCGCAGCTCCTTCTGCTTGGGAAGTGGGCTGACAGAGGTTAAAACAGATTCGTCCGTTCATCGACAATTGCATTGTCTTTCATGCATTGCAGTTGCTTTCAACAGCCCTTTGGCCTTTTCCCCTTTGAATAGTCCTGGCCTCTTCCCCACCTGTTGCAGGTGCCCAAAGCCTTTCCAGTCATACCACCGTCTTGCACCCAGATTCAGACGACGTGGTGTTTGGATTGACACGTTTGGAGATGCACATTCTTTGACCTTGCAGAGGCTCAATCTCTCCAACATCAAGAGGGATATCGACGAGGAGGACGAGTACAGTGAGGAGGATTTTGAGAACAAGGCCACCAGGCTGCAAGAGTCCTTTTGAAAAATGTCAGTTCACTGACCATACAGAGTTGATTGACCTTAGGATTGCTTCCCTGTGTTGAAACAATATTGAAACGATTCTCCCAGCAGGTTGGAAACAGATCATGTCGTTGCATGACAATCTCATCTCAACGAGTTTTACTCACTGTGTGAGCAAACTGTTTTAAACAAGCATGAAATTGCCACTCACAGCAAAGATTCGCGGTTCGCTGATGTGAGCTCCTTTTCTCCGGTCCATGGTCAAGGATGGTATGTGCATGTTCTTCCCCTGAGCCTAAAGTCCTGAAGTGTAGAAACATCATCCTCCACGCCTCCCACTGATAAAGGCCTGTTCCAGAGGGAGGGATTTTGGGGGCTCCAAGTTGCTTCGTTCACTTCTTGAGGTGGGCTCTGAGGCCATTGGCATGACAGTGCCAAAGCCGGTGCACTCGGTGAGGGCTCGTGTGGGACGGGACCTCACCTGTTTCGGGCACTCCGACGAACACGGAAGTGGCTGCCTGGCATGGTCCTGATTTCGGAAGACGACGTTCCACTGTTCCACTTCCAAACACGAGTCGGAGCGCACTACGATTCTGAAGAATTGCCGACATGCCCCAGAAAGAAAGATACAACCAAGCAACAAGTGTTGCTGGATTTCTGAGATTCAGCTTCGTGGCCCATGGGTCTAGATGGCATCATGAAATCGTGGATCAAGAAGTGAAAGCCTTCCCGAAACGGCAACTGCTTCAAGGCCCGAGAATAGAGGAGCCAAAGTCTTGCTTTCCTCCCTGATTACCTGATTAGCTTCTACATTAAACAAACCGGATGAGTGTATGGCATGGACTCGCTGGCAGACCGGCAGACCACCCATTTTTCTGTAGAAAGCGCACAGCCGGCTCAGGGCACAGCAGGTCCACAACAACATCCCACCGCTGGCACTCGGCGGCATAGGACTGCCAAACACATCCGAAAACGACCGCCCCAACCACGCGTTCTCCGCCCGAACAAGAACTGTCCTTCACACGGCTCGATTGTGTGTTTCATCCACTTGTTCCGGTGTTGATTCAACTCATGGAATGAGATTGTTTATTCACATTTATTCACCAACTCCGGTATGTATTAACCAACTCCGGTGTTTCTTCCAGTTTTTTTCCGCAATGAGATTCAAGACATCCACTCTTTTGATATGTCGTGTTTCCGAAGTGTCCTTTTGGATCCTTAGGCCGACCGGGACGGTGTCGGGACGGTGTGGGCATGCCGTTCGTTGGACGCACGCGCCAGGAGATCCCGCACCACCGTTCCGGGCTGAGTCGTTGCAGCAGATTTGGGGACATGACCGGTCCAGATGAGCCGATGGGTGTCCTGGATGGACCCAAGACCCAAGAAGGTTGAGCCGCAAAGCACTGAAATACAGCCACTGCCAAGGAAAGCCACCTCCAAGACCCTAAAGACCTTGGCTCAGTAAGCCTCAGTAACTGTTGCGAACGGAAGTCTTGCGTGGGTGGGAAACAGGTTTGCAATAGTGTTTCTATATTTTTCATCCTAGTTCATTAGTATGCTGTCTGCTTCTACTGCATTTGTTGGCTTGTACGACTTTTTGTTGCCATCACCATTGAGACTCGAGAAGTGTATTCTCCAAGTCTTAAGCGACTGGCGATTTTTGCTGCAAAATGGGCTCGTGCCGGTCAAGGAAACATGGGCTCGTGCCTCTGGCGGAAGTGTTCAAGCGCAAAGCTCAAAGAAATTTCAGGGATTTGAGCATGACTCTTGGCTGCATAGAGAGCAGACCTTAGGTCACCAAGTGGTCATCAAAAAAAAGCAAACGCAGGAGTGCGTGACAAATACAAAGACGGGCTTGGACACGCTTTAGTGGTGGAAGACAGGATTCGTTTAGAGTCCAAATTTCTTCTCAGAATCCACAGAGATTCATTATACGTGGACTTGTGTGTGCTGATCCATATTGATCCTATCCGGTTTCAGGCGTTTGATCCTTATGTCCGGTGCCAAATGGATCCAAATGGCCCAAGTACTCCGAGGTACTGTGATGACCTCACTTTGCTGATGAAGCCGAGAGGTATGGAGCCACAGCGAGGCGACCAGCGATGGCTCTTGGTTCCGCCCCCGTGGCGACCTCCGTGGTTTCAACCGAAGGTTCACCCGTGGTTTCCCAAGTTCCTCCGGTGGTGCGGTGGGTGAGAAAACAGGATCTTGGCGAAAGTGAGGCGACCTGGAGAAGCGGGGCACAGCTTCGCTGTGTAGAGGCCATGGAAGGAGCTGCTATGTGTGTTGGGGGTGAAGAATTCGAACAATAAAGACATATTAACGCCAAACATCAAAGCCTGTTTGTGTCACCAAGGCCCCAAGAAGACCATGTCCAAATCCAAATCTGCAGTTCAACTGCCGCCGCTGGTGTCTGCTCCTCGGAGAGGGAGGTGTTTTTTTCTTTTTTGCTTGTATGCGCTCGGTATGTTCACAGATGTTCAGCCAAATCGGCATGAAACACCTGAAACACAGCGCTGAAGCAGCACGTGGCCCTCCCAGGCACGAAGCGGGACAGAACTCGCCTGGTGACGTGGTGCGGAGCGCGGAAACCCCGCGCACGACGGACGACGCGGATGCGGCCGTGCATGTGAAACGTCACTCAGTTCATGGCAGGTGAAGGGCTAATTCACATGGCCAGCTGCTAAGGGCCAGTGAGGTGTGTTCCACAAGAACAGGACCAAGTCCAGCGTTTGTGGGGCAAGCTACGGATGACTTGTGCAAGAGGTTTTTCGCTGCTGTTTTACGCTGCTGATGTTTTACGGACGAGCACCCTTGAGCCCGTTTTGGCAGAGGAGTCTGTGAAACAAAGTCTCCTAACATTAACGCTTAGCTTGCACTTCACGGTCTGACGGTCGTGTTAAACTGAACATTCTAGCAAGTCTCCAAAGCCACACCAACCCCCAGAAAGCTTCTTGCTCCTAATAGCAATGCCCTTTGTTCATAGTAGCTTCTTGCTCTTAGCAGCGATGCCTGGAGCTACTAGTAGCTTCTTGTTTCTAGTAGCGATGCCAGGAGCCATTACACGCTTCTTGCTCCTAGTAGCGATGCCAGGAGCTACTAGTAGCTTCTTGCTCCTAGTAGAAATGCCAGGAGCTACTAGTAGCTTCTTGTTCCTAGTAGCGATGCCAGGAGCCATTAGTCGCTTCTTACTCCTGAAAGAAAGTGTTCCACCTGCAGAATTCTGTTCGCTGCATCAGGCGCCGCCCCTGCCGCCGGATCTCACACGTTCGGGCTGGCATTATCCCACGCAGGCTTTTGGGATGGGCCGCCCGTGGGTGAAGCATGTCAACAAGCCACAAACCTGTTGCTCCGCCCCGTGGTGCAGATCTACTGCTGGTGGTGGTGGTGGTGGTGGTGGTGAGACACCCGTCTTCCGTACACACTGTCACATTGTTAATAGTCATCACAGTCCAGCTATGCTTTTGCCCAACTGCGTGGTCTCAGCCCATGTCAGCCCATGTAGGAACTTGTGTCGCAACGGTGGCGTTTTCGTCGTCTCACGCACCGTGTGGTAGTGGGCTTCCAGTGTGGTGTTCCCCCCGAACGGTTGCGACCTGCAGAATGTCATCAGGCTCCGTTTCACGATTCCAAACTCATGAGCTGGCGAGCCAAGTTGGAAGAACTCATGGCGAGCCAAACTCAAAACACATATGGGCTTTGGGCCACGAATCAAAGGCGTCAAAGATATGAATAAGTATATATATATAATTAGAGAGAGAGTTGAATTTGTGCAGCTTGTGGATCCAATCCTCGATCCAGTCCTCAAGAGGCCACTTGATTTTTGTGGAACGGATTTGATAGGTGTCGGTGTCGAGAGAACCTGGTTGCATTCGTTGAAACAGGGGAGTGGAATGGAGTGGAATTTTTCGTGGGTTCTTTCATTCTATAGTTTATATTCACTTTGAATAGCTGGCTTGCTATGTGTGGATCGGCTTCTTGGGAGCCTGCTCATTTCCACAACGTTCGCATCCGAGTTACCACCTTGACAGGCCATTGTGCATGACCACTTCCACTACCATTATCATGTTCCTGCTGATTCTCTGCCTTGACAGGCTTGGGTGATCCTTTGTTATACGACTGTGCTGACTGGTTCTGATAGATGACAGATACCACTGCCCCACAAGGGAGTTGCATAACGGGAATCTCACAACGGCAATCCAACTGTACAAACTGTGGGCAGAACCAGGATGTCGCTCATGCTTCACCCGACAGAGAGCGTAGCACAAACAGTAGTTCGCAACGACATGGTGCAGGATCAATAGATAGCGCAGACGGTGTATAGCATTATCAAGATATGCCATGCAGCCGGCCCATTTTTGGTTTCTGATTGCCCTCCTATTAGGTCAGAACTTCCCCGTGAAACAAGAGACAGTGCTGCCCGGAGCCCACCTCTTCGTCTGCAGGATGGTTCCATTGAGTCAGAGGCTGCGACTCACAGTGTTCTTGAAGCTCCTGGAATGGCAGGCCTTATTGAAACTCATGTGGTGCCTCAAGGGCCCTGCATGCATCTTAAGGCTCCCTGAAAGGGAGCTTGGGCAATAGAGGCAGTGATGGGCAGTGGGAATTGCTTGAAACTCCAGAAGATCTCTCAAGGTTCACTGAGTTCATTGCCTATGAGCCCAACCAAGGTTTTCTGGCAAGCTGAGCTGCCCCAGTTATTACATATACCTGTATTTTTGGCTGGACTGGAATGTTTTCCAGTCAGAGGTTAGCCATGGCTCCAACCATGCTGGCAGTGGCCAAATCCCTTGAAGCTCAAAACCCCCGCCGAAGGCAACCATGTGGACACGATGTCATTCATTTGAGGAATGGATTTGCTGCGCAGGGTTGATTCCATTGCACTATATATCTATATCTATAATATATCAGGAAACATGAAACATGTTGAACTGGCCCACTGCCAGAGCCTGTGGTGTTGATCCCCGGACACGCTCACTTCGCACACAGCTGATCATTCGTCAGCCAACCAAGCTTATCAGGTGAGCCTGTTTGTTCTCTTCAATTCCCAGAAGATCAACGAGAAGTCACCACCTTGCACCTGCTGTTTTTCTCCCCATATTTTGTAAGATGGGATCAACCACCTAATTGGTGCCAGGTGTTTAAAAGACTTTCCGGCTTGGCCAGTTGATTCGTTCCCCTTGGGGGGGGGGGCCGCGTCCCAATGTGGGGCCCCGAAGTGGGCGCGCCACCGAGCACGCAAAAAGTCAGTGGCAAGTGGTGTCAGGCAGGTCCGACACTGGTCTGAACATTGGAGATGTTTGGGTGGTGGGCCAGTGATGGCCAGTGGCATTGATGGATGATCTGATCCCTTCATCCCCGCAGGAGTTTGGGAGAATTCCTTATTAAGGACCCCAAATCTGAGCGAGACAACCAGTTCAAGTGTTCAGCTTGAACAACTGCCGTTTTTCAGCTTGAGCTGACGTTTGATCCACCATCCGGCTGCACCGGAGCCTTCAAACGGAACCTCTCCGTCTTCGCTGGTCGCTTTCCATTGGGGCACACGAGTGGGCACCGCGTTGTTTTGACCCAACGGGCAGGTGCCGCGGCTATAGCTCTCACGAACTGTGGCTGGACACAATCCGAACACCGCACCTAACACCCAGGACAGAATGCAACTAAGAGGAGGCCCGGAGGTAATTAATGTTCATATTTGATGTTGTCAGATTTTGCAATCAGCCCCCCCAAAGACCCCTGCAAGAAGTCAAATGGACCAAAACCCATATTGGCTCTTTGACATGGCCAGCACGCAGGTCGCGCATCGAAGGGCGAGGCGTTGCCCACCGGTCCTTGTACCCGAGACAAGACTTGCAGGCCTGGACGAGTCGGGAGAAGGTCGAAAGGATTCGAAAGGACAGAAGGCTGGAGATGTGTTTGCCACCGGGTCGGAAACCGAACGTGTAGTGGTGTGTGGTGCTAATTTTTGACCATCGCTATACATTTGATTTTTGTTGGACCCGGTGGCCATGGATGTCGATGATGTGTAGAGACCGTGATGATCGGTTTCACAACATGTAACATGTTCATTACATGTTCATCAACCTTACAACATGATGAGTTGTTGATGTGACGACAGAAGATTCTACGGGGGGGGGGGGTTTGGGGTGGGCTGGTTTCGTTTGTGTCACGATGGTGATGAGTTGTTGATGTGACAACAGAATAAGATGCTATGGGCGCTTCATGCACACAGGTACCAACAACCTGACGTCACGTTGCGCCGAAGAGCTGTCGAAAGAGCTGTGCAGACGCAGGGAAAGAGAGCGTGTGTTTTGCGGCTCCGTTCCCATGGTTTTTTTTTCACACTTCCGTAAAAGCGAACCGCAAAACGAGACAACAATTTCCATTCAACCCCAAAACACAGGGGTTTGTAGGGAACACAGTCAGGCTCCATGCGTTTATCACACCCACTGACATGAAACATGAGGGTGCACATTCAGTTTCCGACCCGGAGGGATGTTTTGACCAGGTCATTGGGTGAGACCTCCTGGTTTTCCGATCACCAGATCTATGGTAGACGCTTGAAACGTTCCTTTGCTTTTCAGCCATGATCTCGCCCTTCCGGGGTGACCTACCATGCGGGATGTGATTTGGTTGTGATTCCGGGCGTGGAATCGGTCCAGTCTGCATCGCACTGAATTGCACCAATGGACCATCGAACTGCAGTCGGAGAGTCCAACCTAACATGAGACCTTCTACGCCATGCAGCCAAGGGCAAAAGACTGCGGAGGATTGCCTGCTCGAAAGCCCCACGAAGTGTAGGGGAGCAAGGGAACCCATATGAACCCGTAACCCATGTTCAAGGACTGGACCTTTATAGAACACAACGTGCTGTATGCAGATGTGCTCGACCTGGTACACATAGACGACATCTCTTGCAGCTGTGTGTCTTTGAAGTGGCTTTAAGAAATCATCCAATGCGAATCCCTGGCCGACCCAAAACCCTAAAACCCACGACACATCTTTCTCTTGGATGACCCCACCTGCTGGGGCCTGGAGAGGCAACGGGGCGCAGGTGATTCTGCAACGTCATTCCCGTCAGTCCCAGCCGTTGGATGAGGAGGAGCTGGAGGCCTTTCATAAGCGAGTCGGGGCACCCAAGATCCATGTTTTTTTTCAGAGAAATCGAGACATGTGTTTTTTGGATTGCGTACTTAAACGCCCAGCAAAGTACAGATACTCAAGTGCCACAATCCACGTCTCGATCCAGACTCTACCCTGAGAAAAGCCGGATGAATCCAGAAATCGAATCATGGCTGTTATTGACGATTCAAAACGGCCGCACTAAGTGATGAGTCAGAGCCAGTCTCACAGAGCGGGATTCCGTTTGCACAAGTCGGTGGTATGTTTTGGGCATCACATGTTTTACTAAACATCACCTGTTTCAACTTTTGCCCAGGTCACGATCGATGCCAAAACGGAGGCAGTGGACAAAGCCTTCCAGGCGCGGTTCGCCAAACGACACGAGACGACGCGAGGGGGCGCCACTTTCATATACTTTCATACTCAGCTTCGTGATTTTGGGGATTGGCCCACTGCACCATATGTGGTGGCCGTGGCCTGTTTGACTGTCAGTGTTTGGATCATTTGGGGTCAAAACAGAAGCTCAATGAGGGTTTGAGCAATGGCAAAGGCTGCTGGGGGGGTTTGATCCCTCTCCCAGCTCTTGGATGGCCCAAGATGGTTAGGTGTGAACTAAGAAGCTGAAGTCCAACTACTTTATATAGCATATTTTTACAAATTATACCAGCATAGACCCCGAACAGTTTCAAAACGATTCGCTCGGACCAATATAGTCAAAAACGATTTCTTGGTATGCCCTACCTTCCCCCCCCAAGATCAAACTGATATTTATCAGTTATGTTTGTCGGCATTGACATCGCTAATTGTTCGGCCACAAGAGAACACAAGAGAAGAGGAGGACAAGAGAAGAGGAGGGCAAGAGAAGACAAGAGGAGGACAAGACCCGGTCACAGAGTTCATGGGTGCGGCCAGTCAGTGTGTCCAGGGCTGGTCAGCGCGGCCAGAGGACAAGAGGAGGACAACAGCAGGACAATAGAAGGACGAGGAGGACAAGACCCGGCCACAAAGTTCAGGGGCACGGCCAGTCAGTGTGGCCAGCTCTTGTTGTCTAAGATAGAACCCCAACAGTAAACTGCTTGGGGAAAATCCAAACGCATCTGACAATCAGTGATTGCGCATGCTATAATAGGACAACTGCCCAATTGCCTCATGGATGGCAAGGCCACCCCGCACCAGGCCGCACTGTTGGGTAGTGTTAAACTTGTCCAAACAATTCCGGAAGTACTCCATACTATAGATATATAAGAGAGATAGGACAATTTAACCCTGCAACCTAAGCACGCACCTGTACCTGACCACCATGTACTTGCAGGCAAGTTGCAGGGTATAACTTTCGCCACTCAAGTCAAAAGATCAAAAAACCTTCCTATCCAGTCTGGACCACAAGTCTGACAGCAGATCAATTTGCTTCCCAACTCAGACCGAGGTCATCACCACACTGCGGCTTTTGGGCTGGGCCCCTCGGCTGAGGCCCTTGGGCATCGCCCAACCTGAGGCGCAGGAGGCCACGGGTGGTCGACCGGGCGGCCTCTGAACCGACGGGTAGCGGAGTTTTTCAACTGGCGGAGTGGTCTTGGGGCAGCAAGTGTTTTGGGGCAGTTTGCGGGAGTACTTGCACATGTCAAAACCAGAGATCAACTACTGTAATTATATGTAATTTTATAGAGAAAATCAGGCAAAGTAGAACATCTCCCGGCAGACGATTCTGTTCCTGTTTGGAGTCATATCCAAGCTAAGGGTTTCAAAGTTCACATGACATTTGATCAATAAATTCAAGGCAAGCTGTACTATATTTTGTTCCGTTATTTGATGTATTTTTGCCGGATGAGTTTTCATCGGAGTTGTTGAAAAACCGTGGCAGATGCCACACGATATCCAGATTTTCCGGGCGACACATCGAACACAAAAGAGTTTTTTCCAAACACAAAAGTGCGCCCATTCGGAAGTGGGATGAAGTGAGGCGGAGGACTCGACCATGCGAGGACCATTTTTTTTCGGACCTGGTCTTCGTCTCCGAGAGCTCGAGTTTGAGATAGGGATATGATGTGACACTACCCCAGGTTAGAATAATGTAATACATTGTAATAATATATTGATTAATACCCCCCCCCAAATGTGTGTCTACACATGTCATATCAGGATTAGATTTGTTGCCTTCTATCCTCGACAAACCCTTGGGGATGTGGCGGAGATGGTATAGGTGTTGAATGGTGTTGATATGCTTTAGTGTGCTTCCCATGTTGACTCGGAGCCTTCGCTTGCCCCAGTGGGTGAAGTTCCCCAAAGTGGACCAGCGGCCAACCTTCTACTGGCACTGCTGGCTTTGGTTTGAGGTGGCTGGCATTGGGCATGGTGGACAAAAAGAACTCCCAGAAACCGATCCTTTTCGAGAGAGTGTTTGTTGAAGCCTTCAGATCCCTATCGTTTTGGGTCGCAAATTCTAGGTGAACACGACAAAAAAACAGCATCTCAAAGGATGATCACCGCCCGCAATTTTCGCAATTGCCTGTTTGCTTGGGCACCCGTCGTACATATCTCGCACATTAAATCGATTCAATGAGCTGCACAATGTAAGGTGTGGGGCTTCCTGTGTGAATTAGCAGCATAGTTTGGGCGGTTTAGTGATATCGTCATCGAGCTCCTAACTGCATCCCAGAGCCATTTTTTAGAGTCATGCGGAGTGCTTTTGGCCTCACTGATGTTTGTGTCTGAAACCATGAACAAGATTGGCCGCTAAGACATTCAGAGATTCTACTTTGGGACCCGCGTTCGTATGGGCGCTTTGAAACACGCAGAAGGCCCACGGTGTCAAACAGTCCTTGTTTTGGCCCGGAGAGAGCCCACAAGAACCGACAAACCGGGCCGTCTTCAGCCTTCCATCTTCTTCCTCATAGAATGTCAGGTGCCCAAACCATTGCCATCTCAGGCGTCATGCCGCACATCACGGGTCCGTCATGGCCGCTATGCCAGGAATCGTCGGACCGAGCAGCTGCAAACTCAGACGGGCGCACCGGAAGGGTCGAAGGAAGTGGACTGATGGATCCCCAAGGAGGTGATGTAAAACATGTTGAAACCAAACGCAATGCAGACTCTTGATTGATAAAACCCATAATCGACTAGAGGTTTTAACAAATTGAAAAGTCTGTTAGATGGAAGATGGAAGGTTGGATGTGTTCCAGGTTTGATGGAGGAGAGAGCTAACGGTGACTGTCCTTATAAATTAGGTGGTTTGCCATGTTTCTGGTCTGAAATATATACTTGACATATCGCATATCAGTAAAACACCTATCAAACACAAGCCATGATCATCTGGGAAGAAGCTTTGATGCATGAAATCGGTTCCTTCCCATGGTTTCTTCTCATCTTTCGCTCCAACATCACCGGTCCGCACCGTCGCCAGCCATGGTACCGTTCCAGGTCCAGGTGGTCTTTGCCCAGCGGTTTAGAAGCCGCCTGGCAAGGCTTCCCGGCCTCCAACGATCGCGCTTTCTTTAGGCACCTGCTGAGGGACGAAACTGGAGGTTTTCACAGAACACCAGTCATTTTTGGCCAGAACTCAATCCTCAATCCAGCAGAACTCGCATGGAGTGCAAACTGGGGCAATTCGAGGTGCTCCCGACGAACACCGGCCCTTCTGAGAACCGCCCGACCTAGTATCTAGAAACTCGTAGAAGGCGGCCCCGCCCGCTTGGAGACCAACTCCTGATACTGGAGAAGTGACCAGAAGAGTTGGGAATGCGGAAGCTGAGCAACTTCTGTGGATTTTGAAGAGGCTGGCGACCATTTGGTTCAAGCACAAGTTATCAATGCAAGCTGCCAACCTGTCCCAGTCCCAAGCTTCTTCAAGCTGTTTAGATTCTTTTGTAGCTTGTAGCTTTGTAGCTTCGTCGTAGAACCTGACAGTACATAAGGCGTTGCATAGCTGCAGGTACTTGAACTGGAAATTTGCAATATCCATCCTACCATGTGGTCCTTTGGTCCTACTTTTCCTCGCAAAAGGCAGCGATGCGCCACCTTTCACACGTGCGATGTTGGTGAGACGATTGATGAGCCCTCAGGGCCCTCGCTGCTTTGCTCGTTGTCCAGGTGCCAGTCGTTGTCCTGGCGGACACATGCTGGAACATCGTTCAGATTCTGCCAGTGGTACTGGTACAATACTTACTGGTATCAACCGAGTCCAGTACCGACTGGTATAAAAACCGACTCAAGTTGGCAGCGTCCAAACACGTGAAGTCCACACCCTCCCAACCAGGACCCACCAATCAGTTATTAAACCTTCATGTCAAGCTGCCTCAAAGCCGAACATGTTCAACTAGCATCAACTAGCTGTTTCTCCGCAAATTCCTTGCAGACATTCCCAATTCAATGATTGAGCTTGCTCATGAGTTGTCTATGTGCAAGCATTTGAGACATCCCCTCATCAAGGAAGTCATTGCAACGGGTTCAAGGATCTTGAGACATATGCCAGAATTTGTTTGCTAGTTATACTAACCGCCTGGTGTTCAATGAAGCAACTAGTGTATTCAATAAGGCGACAGACAGAGACATCAAGGATGGCCGCTTTTTAGGACAGATGTCGTCCTTTGAGGCAGTCATGACCAGTCGTTTATTTTCATTGCTCGATTGACTGATCATTTACGCAGGAAATCTGTGGAGCTCTGGAGTCCTTCGCCCAGCTTCACCCTTCCGCAGCCGACTGGTACGGCAGCCACTGTACCATGCAGTTCGAAGCTTCTCCAAGGACGGTAAGATCCCGGCGGACAGATTGGTTGGGGAAAGGCAAGATCGTTCGCTTGTGCACTCGTATTTTCTTTTAGGGCCTCAGATAAGTTTTCTTTGGAATTGAGCAGGTTGTTTCTTTTTGCTTCCTACAGTCAGGAAACAAGGGGGGTCGTGGTCGCACCTATGGCTAGGAACAAGTGCCACGCTAGTAGAAACAAGTGCCACGCTAGTAGTAACAGGTGCCTTACTAGTAACAATGTTTGCTATTAGAAACAAGTGCCTTACTAGTAGTAACAAAAAGCTACTAGGAACAAGTGCCGTGAATTCACCCTCGCAGGACGAGAAGCCGACACCGAAGCCGACTGCGGCAGGTTTACCGCAGCTTTGGCACCTGCTGCGCCCCGAACGGCGGCGACTCCAGTGGCTTGGAATGGAAGGGGAGGCCAGTTAGGAACAGATATGTTGGGTCTGTCCGAACTTACCTGTAAGTCAGTAGACAAACATTGTTACTACTAGTAAGGCACTTGTTTCTAATAGCAAACATTGTTACTACTAGTAAGGCACCTGTTACTACTAGCGTGGCACTTGTTTCTACTAGCGTAAGTCAGTAGACAATTACGTCTCACTATTTTGGGAAAAAGGCATTTGTTTCTTTCCCATCATCCACCGGGCCCTGGTAAGTTCGGATAGACCCAAGTGATATGGTTGATTCAGACGAGACATGTCACATGATGTCACCGCTATTCAGGAAGTATACCCGGGTCTTGGTCTAGGCCGTAGGCCTGTTTTTGTGTGCTGCTACTTTGTTAGCCATCCAATCAATCGTGAAGGTTGTCATATGTATTGTGTACAGGTTTGTAGCCAACACCAGGTATCGAACATACACTTCGAAGGATACATTTCGATCATCATATTTCATCATACAGCATCGGAGTTTTCTTGTCGGGCTTTGTAAAGCCTGGTCAGATCTGGTTTTGTGGGCGTTGTCAATCTCCATGAATATTTGAGGATATTTTCTCGGTTTCTATTTATGTTACAACTTTCCGAGGCTTTCGCATTATTGAGGTAGATGAAGCCTTCACATCAACTGGCATCACCGAAGTGCTGACCGAGGTGATTGCTTTCAGGTTTGAACCACACAGTTTTCAGGAGGAAGAACCACTGACCAACGCCACATGCGAGGGATTGAACGCAACAGGTCTTCACCAGTTACAGGTCTTAGGGCCTTATGAGGTCTCCGCAGCCATTTGCGGTCCGGAATAGGTTGGCACTGGCCGCGCTATGTGCTTCCTCTTCCGTGAACTTGTGGCATGGCAGATTTGGGGGGCACGCTGATGGCCGGGGCCTTCTATAAGAGATCCCATCCTGGGAGAACATACCAGCTGCAGTCAATCCCATTGTTGGAATCACTGGGAAAAGGGAGGAGCTGCTTCGCATACGAGACCTTGAAATTTTCCACAACGTGCCACTATGTTCATTTTGCAAAAGGGCGCCGCAAGATGGTTTGCCTTCTCGATACGTGTTACCGCCCTTCAACTGTTTACACTCGATCACAAATGGCCTCGAAAGGCAACAGTCTAACATGGGCAGGACGTCGTGTTTATCGCATTCAGCCTTTCGAACCATCCACGAAGCCTGGCACCCCAATTTCATCTGAAACAATATAACACAGCGTAGTGACTTCGTGCATATATGATATGTGTCATGTCCCATTGTTTTCCCAGCTTCCACGTCTTTGGGGGCCTTCTTGCAGCATCCTTTTCAGCAGGGAAGGTCGGCAGACATTAAGACCACGTATAATGAATTCAGGGTCAAATCCTCACACCCTGATCAGCAACTTTACGTTTGGAAGCCAGTAGTCAGTCCCAGTAACCTGAAGCAGAACTGACTAAGTGGTATCCATATTATGTGTCCCCTGGATTTCTATTTGAGGTCCTACCCATACTTGATGGGTCGCTTGGTGGACATGTTTGGAGAAGGTCAAGAAGGGCTTCTCTTCGTCATGGACCACACTGCTCTTTGTGGGCTGCTGGTCGTGGCAGGAGGCCAGTTGAGGAGCGGATTGCGGTGGAGTGCGGCCAGATTGGTGACCTGTGTTTCAGCTACCAATCATGTTCAAGAAAAGACTTCCTGACAGGGACCAATCACCTGTCCCCACTTCCTGTTTCTTCTTGTCTCTCAGATCAAACCTTGTGGTTTCATGATGTCTCATGCAGTTTCGGTCAGGATGACGAAGACCAAGATCCAGTGGCTTTGCACCACTGACGCGACAAAAGCATAGTTTCCAACAGCACGTGCAACCAAGCATCAGACTCGCACCAGACAGCTCGGATTGTCCTGCTCCGGGGGAACCCCGCGAGGTGCGGCCACGTTCTGCCGGCTCTACTTGATCGAAACAGCGATCGAGCGCATCGCCTTCCGCTTGCGGCAGCAGTTTTTCAAAGCCCTCGTGGAGCGGCCCATCGCCTTCTTTGACCAGAACAAGACAGGAGAGCGCCCCGTCTACGGTCTGACGCCTTAAACGGGTGTCCACGCCTTAAACGGGGTGACAGTCGGGGTGAGAGTCGGGTGGGCGGATGGGAGAGACGGAGAGACGGTGGCGTGGAACATGGGCGGATGGAAGAGTGGAAGTGCCTTGAAAGAGCCATCCAATAGACTTTTGTTCTCAGTCGAACGTAAGTTGTTGGAGGATTTTGAGATCAAATCCGGGAACTGTGGGCGATTAGAATGATTGAAGAAAAGATGGATAATTAGGTCCTATATGATCCTATCAACCTTTGGCTAAGGGTCCCACTTGGATAGTCTTTTGGCCCAGTCAAAGGCAAAGTGGACGAAGTGTGATACCAATGGAATGGAGAGTTGTGGAAGGGGAAGAGACTTGAGATCTACTGGTAGATGCAAAAGGCCAGACAGGACTGAACCTACCAATAGATCTGGAATGAGTCAAGGTCTCCGTCTGCGGAAGAAACTTTGGGTCCACACTAGTGAACTGGTGATGGTGGAAGAATGAAATTCTGAGCCCATTGGTGAGAGGAAGTTAGACACAAGTCGTTTATTTGAGGTGATGCAGGATCTATAGACTTTCTTCCATCAACAAGAATATACAAGAGTGATTACCTTCTTCACTCGCAGCTGATTCACTACCGTTACTAGTAGCGATGCCAGGAGCCCCTAGTAGCGTCCGATCGCTCCTAGTTGAATGTGCCTCATTGCCTCAGGTTGGTGAATCGGCTCGGGAATGATATCACCATGACGAGCCGGGTTCTCATTGATGCTTCGGCCGGGATCCGTGGCAGTATCACCGCTGCCGTGGGCACCTGCGCTTCGGCCGGATGGAAGGCTTTCGGCCGCGGATCAGAATCTGAATCGAGGAGGGCAGCAATACGGGTCGAAAGAGTGAACGAAGCTAGAAGGACCTGATTATATAGTGACCTGCTTCCAAAGACAGAGACCACTAAAAAGATACCAAAACAAGAATGTAAGAGCCCCTGAATTAAAAACAAGGGTGGCCTGATTGAAGGGACCCTTACCTTCTTATAGTTCTTATTTGTCTCTTTAAAAAACCTACGGTTGCATCTCCACTGGCTCTACAACCTGGACACTCCCAGGTATGATCTTCCAACTAGCACCTCGAGAGATGATGCTTGGTGCTGATCTTTCAGGAGCTTGGTCTTGGTGGTGTTGGATGGGTCGGTCTTGGTGGCGAGTGACGAGAGCTTGCCGAACCAGAAGAAGTTGAGATCAGTGGTCAAAACCGGTGGTTGGATCTTACCAAGAATCCAGCCTGATTTTCTTTCGAACTCTAGATTATCAAAGTAGTTGCAGGGTGTTGAACTCTTTGAGGATGTTATGATGTTGCACATCCTGACACTGAGGATATCCAACTGCTTAGTTCCGGCATCCAGAGGCCTCGAGAGTTCCGGTTGTCATTCCTCTAGCAGGGCCTTGCGTGCGCAGAAAGCGCATTGAGAAATACTAAAACCATCTAAAACCAAACATGTCCAGAATATTGCTTATAGAATCCCAGATCCCAACCAATAACGTCCAAAAGAATCCCAAAGAATCCTTTCAAGATGTCTTAGTTTCAACATGTTTCAATCACCCCCCCCAAAAAAAAATAAGCAAAAGAAACCAAGCACGACGACTCTTTGCCGCTTTGCCCTCAGGATTCTGGGCCTCCTCTCCCCAGTCCTGGCGCTCTTCGTCACCGGTGTCCTCTACGGCCGCCTGGTGCGCCGCATCGCTGAGCGACGACAGCAGCGCCTGGCCGAGGCGGTGCAGCGCGCGGAGGAGCGGCTCGGCGGGATTCGCACGGTGCGCACCTTCAACGCAGAGGCGCGAGAGCTTCGAGGCGAGATGGAGCTTCAGGGTGAGGAGTAGGGTAGGAGTAGGAGGGTTAGAAGTTTGTGTGGAAGAGCTGGGGGTTGATGGAGGTGGGCAAGCATGGGGGTTGGAAGATTTGAGCTGGGAGAATGCACTTTGTATGACCAGATGGGATAAACATCATTGGCGCGGAAAGGAAATTCGATGCGGCACTTGGCGAATTCCACAAAGGACATGACCAGCCACGGCGATTCATAGAAGAAGTGGTTTAGTTAGGGTGGTTCATTCAGTGAGGAATCCGATGGTCCACTGACATGGCTGGTTGAAGCATGTTGGACATGGTTGGTTGACCGTCATGTGTTTGAGCCACTGACTGATCAACTTTATGCCCAGGCTGACTGGGGGATCAATGTACAGAAGGTGTTTTAGGGTTGTTAGGGAGTTCGTTGGATGATTAGATGTGTTTGGCGATGTCCAATAGCTTTGTTTCTTCGCAGGTCTTCCAACATGTCCAACCAATGTTCCCACCATAGATATCTTGAAATGGGCAACTTGGCTGAACATCAGCGGGATTGTGGATGCAATTCTCCGCAGTGCTTGCAAGGAACCTTCCAAGAATCTTGGACATGGTTGGCTTTGGGGCAGTCTTTGGGGCATATCAGGTTGTATGAGGGATCTTGATACCAGGTTAAGGATGTTTGACCACTGGAACCTCTCAGTGCCAGCACAAATTGGCGTTTTCAAGCGGATTTGTGCCTGACATTCAGCCCTCTACAGAACTGACTGGTCTCTCCTGATCGCTGATCGCCTCGATCTGCCGCCTGACTCAATCGCTCCTGCCAGGCTTTGAGGGACTTTTGGATCTCGTCTATCAAGCTGGATGGCAAAATGCGTTGGCCTCGGCTGGCTTGTCCTGTTTCTTCGTCACAGGAGGTGACGAGTGGAGACTGGAGGGATGCCACACTGAGACTTCGACAAGCTACAGATGGTGTGGGTCAAAGCCTCACCCTACAAACATCATCAAACATCTACAAACCATGGCAGGACAACATCTCCAATATGATTATATACAGATGTATAAAGAGGAATCTGTTCATTTTTCAGGACTCTTGACCCGCAGCCACCAGATTGGTCCTTTTGCAAGGTTTGAAGTGCACAGGTTATCAGTGAATGAGCCATTGAATATCATTGAATTGAATGAGTTACTTTTCAACCCCGCTGATTCGCCGTGAAGGCAAGATTCTAAGCGAAGTGGGTTGGACGGACATCATTTGAAATTGTAAGTATGTAGAGGCATATAATCAGTTCTGGCTTGTACCGACTGACCCAAGATCATGCAGGTGGCTTGTTCCTCCTTCACATCATTTACAACTGCGGCGTGATGGTGTCCAGTGGAGTTGTGAGTGTCGGAACGACGGTAAGCCTGGCCATGTACTGTCTTATGGCTGGGTCTTCTTACACCGGGGTCATGGCCGCCTATGGAGACATTCAAAAATGTTTGGGCTCACTACAGAAGGTTTTGGACATTCTGGGCACAGCTGAAGTTCGACCTGCCCTCAGCCAATCGGTGGCTGCTGCAAGCGGCGCAGCAAGCGCACCTTTGGCCGTGAAGTTTGAGAATGTGAGCTTCTTTTACCCAGCCAGGCCCCAAGCGAATGTGCTTCAAGGATTAAATCTGGATATTCCGGCTGGAGCACGTGTGGCCATTCTCGGCCGTTCGGGTTCCGGGAAGTCGACCATTGCCCTGTTGCTGGCAGGGCTTTATGCACCGACAGAGGGAAAGATTTGGGTGGATGGCCATGACATGGTGGCGGAGGACCGGACGGCTTGGGTGAGATCGCAGCTGGGTGTGATCAGTCAAGAACCGACTCTCTTTGCTATGAGCATCAAGGAGAATGTAGAGTATGGCTTAAGTCCTGACCCCGTGGATCAGGCATCCAACGACCTGAAAGTCAAGGAGGCAGCAGCTGCAGCTCATGTGACTGAGTTTACCGATGGCCTTCCGCATGGAATGGATACGCTCGCAGGGGAGAGAGGTGGCTGCAAACAATATCATTCTCCAAATACATTATATATAGGCATAACACTTGCAACATAGAATTGTGAGGAATTGAGTATGTTGAATCTTTATTGCGGTTGAACACCCTCATGATTCGCTTGCTAGGCTTGGGGACACACTGATCTAGGTGATAGAATGTGATGGATTTGATATCATTTTAAGAGCCATTTGATATCATTTGATCGATTGCGATGATCATTCGATCGATTTCGCCTGAATTCCAGCAGGTCAAGCCTTGAGTGGCGGCCAAAAGCAACGTGTTTGCATCGCCCGAGCATTGGCCCGGACTCCGCGCATGTTGATCTTCGACGAAGCCACCTCTGCTTTGGACTTGCGGAGCGAGCGGGCCGTGCACGAGGCATTGCAAGAGGTTTCTGAGCGAAGAGACGGTGCTCATCGCTGTGCTTGAAATATCTACATCAATATGATCCAAGAATCCAATAGAATTAGTCCAGTACAGACAATATACAGTAGTATATTAATTAATATTATCAATATTATTCCAGGTTATGGATCCATAAAGATCCTCCGGATATCTCTAAATAGAGATGTAATGATATTTTTCAGTGAGGATCATATCTCCAGATCTCACAGATCGACCGAGATCTCGACCGATTTTCAGAGTCATTTGGTGGCTTTGATCATGTTTGGGTTGGCCAGTTTAGACTGTTCATGTCCGAAACACTTTATGAACTATAGCAGCATGGTCGCAGTGGCCTGTCTTGACTAGGGCAAGTGCAGCGTTGCGCGGATTGCTGAGGTCTTATCATCTCAGAATTGTTCTTGTTTGGTCATCACCCACAGGCAGCTTGGCTGTTGTAAGCACAGTGGGGATCAACTCGTCGGGCTACCAACATTGGCACAAACAGATGGACTTGTTTTGCTGTTTCAGTTTCTGCACTTTTTTGATATATACATATATTATATATTATTATATCATATTATATATATATACACGTTATATACTGCATATTATATGTTCCAAAACGCTCTCCAGCCTGGCTAAACTCCCGCGACCCCGAAGCAGCCGAAGTAGACACGATATTGTCAAATCGAGCAGAAGATGCTGTTTGTGCATCCATTGTCCCACTCCATGAACTCTTTCCTGGAAGAGAGAATCATAATCGGGGTATCTTTAGTTAGTTAATGGCCGATTGATCTGGACAAGGTCCGGCATAAGTTAAGTTTAAGAAAACAGTGTTCGTCGCCGATTGATGATCAATTGTTGTGCTTTATGCAGCAGAGGGTGTGAGGTACATACAACTTTCCACAACACGCGTATTGCCTTGGCATGAGAGTTGATCAGCGCAATATGTCCGGCATGACATAAAAGTGCCCATCGGCGATCGATGATTATTCTACGCGGCTCATGCAGCACAACCTTGCAGAAATCATTTGCTTGGAAGGGAGGGGGGGGTGAAGTCAGCGAAGCGAATAATCAGCGCCAAGGAGCATTCTAAACATCTTGACAAGCAATCATCAGTGAACATTCCCTATGTCAATCCATTTCTGCTGCTCAAATCTTGGACCTACAATTGATCAACCACCATGCAATCATCCATAAATCAACCGATGACGGCTGGTGACTTAGCCTGGCTAAGTCCGCAGGACCCGGCCACGGAAGGCGGACGCGCAGTGCCTCCGGTAATCCCGCAAGGCCACTGGAAAGGAGGCTTGGAGGCCCTACCGGACCACCACCGGTATACCACAGGTATAGCGTTCGCAACAGGCCACAGGGGAGGAGGTCTGGAGGCACGCCCGGGTGATGTTGTAAAATTTGAGAGTACTTGGCGGTGAAAACTCAAAAAGTTGACGTCGAAATGCCATCTACTTTGGCTCTGTCGGTTCGCACTTCTTTGAAAAAAGATTCGGACGGGAAAAAGTACATGGAACCTGCAAAACCTGCAAAATGTTTGCTCAGTCAACCCAGTCAAGCTCCATTTGATTGGCACCATCATGATACACCCCTATGGCAAGGACGAAAAAGTGTTGTTTTGCTGTAGCGCCTTCCTGCTTCTGCAGTTCATCCTGGAGTCACAGTACTGCGCGCCTTCCCACTCTGAATGTCAGTGTGCGCATTGTACTGAAATTGAGTTCCTGATTTTCCTTGTCTCCCCCCATCTCCTCCCTCATCTCATATTGCCCCTCTTCACCCATCTCTCCCCAGGCCCTCCCACCCTCCGGCGCTGTTTGCGCCATCTACTGCGTGTCAGAAGCACCCATTCCTGGATCCCTTGTGCGCGCCCAACCCATCTAATTACAATAGAACGCAGTAAACCCTTGCCCTGCCTCTCGGTTCCTCCTCCTCATCATCCGCTCCTTTCCCCTCCTTCCTGTCCTCACTGCTATGCGCCTTCCCACTCTGACTCTGACTGTCAGTGCGCGCCATTTACTGTGCATTGAGTTCCTGATTTTGTTCTCCTGTTTCTGGATGTCAGTTTGCGCCAGCACCCATTCCTGGATCCCTCGTGCGTGGCCAACCATTTTATATACACAGTAGAATGCAGTAAAACCTTTCCTGCCCCACCTCCACTCTCCTCCTTCTCTCCTTTCCCTTCCTGCCTGTCCTCACTGCTTTGTTCACTCTGACTGTCAGTGTGCGCCATCTATTGCGCATTGAGTCTCTCCTCTCTGACTTTTTCCTGCCTGTATTTTCAAACCCCCTCCTTGTTTCTTCCTTTTCCTCCTCTGCCCTCCTTCCTGCTGTCAATGTGCGCCATCTACTGCCCATTGAGTTCCTCGTTTGTTGAATGTTTTTGGTGATGAGGACGCCAAAAAAAACAAATAGTTGTCTTTTTCTCTGAATCTGATCTGTGTTCCCTTCCCTTCCCTTAAAGGAAACAGATTTGAGAAGAAGGGAACAAGGTAGAAACATGTAGAAACAGTATTACATGGCGCAGCGTTTTTGGGCCAAAATGTTTTTTAGTACATGGCTCTGAGATCCTTGCACGTTTAGTAGCCGGCTCCATCTACTATTGCCCGCGCTCATTTGGAACCCACTTTCGAAAAACCGCCATCTATAGCAATTTGTCAACGCCACCTACCTTGAAACTACTGCACACTTTTAAAAGCATGTTTGGAAGGGTGCCCCCCTTCCTTCCAGATACCTCAAGATGACCCCAAGGTGCGAATTATGCAGACCAAGTTGGCTTGCATTATTGGCATTTTCTGTGTTTGGCTTTGTTTCTGGTCAAAGCAGCAGCCACAACACACACAACCACAACCACAACACCAACCACAACAACCACCACCACCACCACAACACCACCAACAAACACAACAACCACCACGTATTTTGTGTCCATAACCATGAGTCATCACTCGAAGCCTTTTCCGCTCCTCCGTTGTCAAGGATGAGCTCTTTGCAGTGGTGCGACCATGTTGCCGTAGCCACTTGGTGTCGAATAGCGTCCAAATGCGCGCAAGGTCGCTGGTCGAGTCTAGTTTATGGGGAAAATTGTTGGCTATACTGCTACACCCAAATGCATCCAAACGCATGCAAGGTCGTTGTTTGAGTCTTGTTTATGGGGAAGATTGTTGGCTATATTACTACATCAGTCGAACCTTCATGTCTTGTTGACTTGAAGTAGGGAAGTATGGCTGGCCCATCAGTAAGGAAGAATCGGGAATGCTACTGCGCAGAGGTGGCAGTAGGACACCCATTTGCTGCATACCGAACGCTTTTGTTACTGTGCAAGGCAAAAGGTTTGGCTAGCTGCGGCACCATCACCCTTGGACCATTGCTGAAAAACAGGCTGACTTTTTGCATTTGCAATGATTTTCATAAAGGATGTACTGATCTAATCCCCCGTCGCTTGAATTCGGCTTATCAGTCGGGTGTGTCCGAAGCCTCGTCAGGTCGAGGAAGGAGCTGTTGTGCAATATGGAGCCCTAGCTGCTATATAGCTTGACTTTCCTTGGAGTTGGCTCCAAAGACCGACAAAGACGAAGGAAGACCGACGAAACGCGGATGTTTTTCGCTCTCCGCGGAAATTTGGGGTGTCTCAGTGGTGAACTTAGGCCAGAAAGAAGAGGTTCTGCAGAACCCTTGTACAGCCTTACAGAGTATTTTACGGAATGATGAGTTTTAGGACAGCGTCAAAGGAGCGAAAGCATGCGAAAGCGAAAGGCGCTTTCGGTCCTCAAGCAGCTTCTTCCTCACCTGCTGAAGATGCAGCTGTGATGGTCAAGACGAGCAGATTCTCAGAGGGCTGGCCCGGCCAGCCCGGACATCGATTTTGCAACACACAAAAAATGCCGTCCGCCATTGGTTGGCTGGTGATCCACTTTCAAAGTTTGGACTCACATGAAAAACGATCCTTTGGTGTCACAGTGAATACTCAAGCATGTCAGATACCCTGATGTTTTTCTGAGTATGCCAAGTACTGTACCTCAACAAGTTGAAAGAGCAAAATCAAATGACACATAACAATTCGACTGCAAAAACATGCAAAAACACATTGTTCATCATGTTTGAACTATATATTCAAGTGCAGGGTCGTGGCCTCGTTCCGCCCGGCAGGTGTACCCGCACCTCCGAGACGATGTGGGAGCTTCCTCCGTTGGACTTCCAGGCGACTGACGTCAGTCCCGGTTTAACAATGCCGCCGATGGCGGAAGAAGAACGCTCACCTTCTCTCGGACCAAAACCATGGCAATGTCCAGTTTATGGCACAGAAAAGTTTCGGTGGGAATTTCTGGTCCATCAACATGATGACAGGGGATGTGGCAATACCTCTATGTTGGGTGCAGCAACCGTGAAGATGCATTCCACCTATCAAAGCACCTCCAAGTTCTCACCAGTTGTTCTACTACCTGCGAGTACCTTGAGTTCTGCGAAAGATAGATGGCAAGGGAACCCCCTTTCCAAGTGATGGTTGAAGGCACGCATTGATTATTGATGTGCTGCAGAAGCCAAAGTCCCTAATTTGAGCCGAAGATCACGAACTCACAACACAGGGTAGAACAATGTCAACTACCGTAAGATACTGTAAGTAACTTTCAGGTGGGGCATTACCTGCCAAAACCATTTGTCGCAAGCACTTGAACATCATAATACGGCACTTATTTGGCCCAGTCTCATTCTCATCCCTGCCTGGTAACTCGCGCTGGCGCGATATCCGACAGGCTGCAGAGCCAGCGATATCCGCACCATCCCCTGGGGATCCCGAAGAACATCTCAGATTCTTGCTGGAGGCATGCGATGACTGAAATGCGTGGAGAGGTGCTGTTCAAGGCACACTTAATAATAGAGCTTAGCCAGCTGGCTGGTGGCTTCTGACTTCTGATAGGCTGAGTGGCCACGACTCCAGAGGCAAGAGGAGTTGTGGAGAGAACGGGAACTTGCAGGCACGGCGGCACGGCTGCATGGCCTTGTGCTTCTGTGTGATCCCGACCTGACGCGCCACCAAGACCTGACCTTGTGGTGTCCTTTTCACCATGCTGCACCGGTACTGCTGGTGACAGCACGACCAAAGCCCACGACACACGATGCGTAACGAATCTGAAAGGGGCAATCTACGTCTACGAACGATGTCTGTGGCACAAATTAAGTACCATATAGATCGATCTATATAGTCCGTGTAAGACCAACTCGTTGCTTTCGTGGTTCGGACCGCTCAGTTTGAGACGACGAGCATCGCGACCAACACACGACGCCAGGACAGCAGGAGGAGATCGCTTCGACGAGTAACCAAGATGCCAACGTATGCCAGTGAGTCAAAAGAAACTGCTGCAATCTTCGGCTGATCCTGAGTAAGGTAGACTTCTGATTATGTAAACTGCCCCTGCCAGAATTCAGAATAGTTTTGTATCTCCAGTCCTCCGGGGCTTTAGGAATCATATTAGGTTAGCCAGGTGAGCTTATCAATGTGGATCTCACCCAGGCGCAGTATGGATGAGTTCTGACTGTTGCTGATCGAATCTACCACAATCATGTGCGTTGCCGCTTTGCTCCGTTGGTGGAGGGAGCTAGGCATGACTTTGAGTAAGAGTTCCCAGACACTC